TATATATTCAAGGAGAAAAGAAAGTGTGCGTACTTTAAACAGCCTCAGCTTAATCAAATAGAACGTAAACAATCGCCAATTTTTGCATGGAGACTGTAATTTGCACGAGTTTTAGCAAATATTCTTGCTTGTCATTGGAGATATATCTATTTTTGGTTCAATTTATTTACCGGACTTTTTAAGCGACTTTTGATATATGAGTTTGGAATTTGAATCTATGATTTACTCCGTTAAGTCTGTGTCTAAAAGGTTTTAAAAAATACCATCCCGCCAGCAGTTTTTCTGCTTTTAAAACATGTCACTCCTGTCGGAAAATGATAGATGGTGAGCGTTAGGAATGCTCCAGGCTGGGAGTACATAGCAAGATGTGACTCAAAGGCTCAGCATCCACAGAAACAGATTTGGACGTTTGTGGGCACAGTTCGGGTCGTCTGGAACGACGAATGATCGACCTAGAGGTGGATCACAACTCAGAGACCAGACCGTGGGTGGTTGGCGTGTGCTCTGGTGTGGTTTGCTTCTTCTTTCCTATCAAACATCTATCGTTCTTATCTCCCTTCCTTCTTTTTAATTGTTTGTTACTCTCTTGTAACACCTCTAATCTTCTGGCGCTCATATGGCCTTATGCAGCTGCGAGCGCCCGTAAAACCTCTACTAAAACAAATAGACCAGACCGCCACCTACTGCATTCATCCCCGGAACAGATTGCAAGCTCCATAACTAACTGCACCTAATATAGACCAAATCCAGCAAGTACTGACCAGCTCTAAGCGTTAGATGAACTTGAGTAATTGTTAGAAAGAATATAGCTGCAGAACCGTCAGCAGTTTATCCAACAACTTATTTTTCCCGTGCATCGACGATATCAATTAGGCCTAGTCAATAGTACGGATGGTGGTCATACGCGGTACTGATTTTGTGATTTTGGAAATTATGGTGCTCAACTTGTGATGGATACTTATGTTTAAAAAAAAATGAACACTTCAATGAAAACTATTCGTCCCCATGTCGTCTTTTACATGTCGTGTATCGTCAAGAAATGGAATGGATTCTCTTAAGAACGTTTTTTTGCAAGTACAATATTTGATTTCTTGATTTCTCTGCACATATTAATATTTTCTTTATATATATGTATATATATATATATATATATATATATATATATATATATATATATATATATGTCAAGGATGTGTGTGATGTGAGATATGTGATGTGTGTGTGTATGTGTGTGAGAGAGAGAGAGAGAGAGAGAGAGAGAGAGAGAGAGAGAGAGAGAGAGAGAGAGAGAGACAGGACCATGTTTGAAAGAGACGCAAAAAATCAACGATTTCTCACCGTTCTGGCGCCCTTGTTCTCCACTGCGCAGCGCAGCACAGCCTCCTGACCCACGTGATATGTGACGTTGACGGGGGTGGGCAGGAAGGTGGGCAGGTACAGTGGCTTCTGCTCCAACAGCTGGGAGGGCGCCGGGAGCATGAACTCGCCTGAGGATGTCACATAATTAATACTTAGGAACAGTCGTAACACAATAGTCAAAGTCAGTTTTTGTTGTTCTGGGAGAGCTTAAAAAAAAAAAGAAAAAAAGAAAAAGAAAAACAAATAAAAGCGGTGCTTACCTAATCCTTTCCTAAGCCAACATCTTGACTTGGCCCCCAAAAAAAAGAAAAAAAAAAGAAAAAGGAAATTGTTTCAAAACGTGATGTTTTTTAGTATGAAACCAAACACTTTATATAAGGGCACCAAGCAAACATTAGAGGCTTTACCGCACCGATACCTAGAAACCTGAAAAGAAAAAAGATTTATGCAAGGGTCTTATAACTTGCAGTTTATGATGTGTTGGTCAAAGACCTGGGGATAGAATTGAGGGTGAAAAGAAACGAGACCTTGACATTGATTTATAGTAATGAGATTGAACGTTACACACTCCCATTCGACACAATTTGACCTTTTCGGAGGCGGGCCGCTTCGACCCTGACCCAGCAGAGCTTGGGGGGCCCTGGCAAGATGCAGGCTTAAAAAAAGAGTGACGGTTGAGGATTCGGGTGGTGGTAGAACCTTGACACTGATTGATGGTAATGGCAGTAAATGTTGGTAACTGAAGATACAGGATCTTTAGCTTATTTGACGCTAATGATTGTAAATGCTCCCATTCCCACCTTCTGTACAAGTCAAATCAATTCAGAGGCGCGGTGATTTGACCTCGCCCGTCAGGACCAGGCTGGTGGCGTGGAATTCACCAGTAGCATCCCACTTGACAAAATATCTTTCTCACATGGCTATCCAAGTTAAATCTTCGTCATTCGAGGCGAAGAGTGTAACCATTGTACCGCTGACCATGGTCATAACATAGGCGTTCACATTATGATACTACACGCAATGTCAGGAATAAATGTCGTGAACTTTACTTATTTGCAGACAAATGTTAAAAACAGGTAAGTAAGTAAGTAAGTAAGTAAGTAAGTAAGTAAGTAAGTAAGTAAGTAAGTAAGTAAGTAAGTAAGTAAGTAAGTAAGTAAGTAAGTAAATAAGTAAATAAGTAAATAAGTAAATAAGTAAATAAGTAAGTAAGTAAGTAAGTGAGTGAGTGAGTAAGTGAGTGAGCGAGCGAGTAGGTAAAAAACAAATTATAACGTTTTAGCAATCAAAACCTCGGGAAGGACGGGTATCTTCCCCTCCCCTTCCTTCCTCTCAGACTAACAAATGCCATGTAATTAAAATTTCACACATTACATGCTATTCGCATAAGTAACCAAATACTCATTCTCTCACCCGACTCCTAAATACAAACTTATTTATTCGAGGAAGGTGTCCCATAATACGTCATAATACACTGACAAATAAACTATATTATGCTTTCATGTGTCGATCAGCCTCGCTGCAGAGCAGCTCCATTTTGAACATTTGAACATGATGACGTAATTGAGTACGTATCTCTCTCAGTAATTAGCACTTAGCCAGCCATCCATCTACTTACCCACGCACCCAAATACACTCATTTACATCATATACCTATCTACCCACCCAAATACCCAGCAACATAAAAAATCCCAACCCCAAACAAACGCACACATGCACATATCCCTCTTGGTGAAAAGGTTTTGGCAAAGGTTTGGTTTGACGGTCGGGAATTTCATGTGATGGAAGTTCCACGTTGCATTGACATATCGACAAAGTCTGTAGCCTGAGCAGAACATTCGAGTTTGCCAAAGCTTTTAAAAAGTGGTCCATAGAACTGAGAGAATGCCGAGCGTGGACGGGATATTTATTTTGTTCAATAAATACTTAACTACAGGTAAAAATAAAAGATTAAAACAACTGATTTATCGGTACGCAAAATACAAGTAACACAAAAATAAAAAAGAGCAAACTTATATCTATTATCTATTTGTGGTGGCCGGATTTTGCTATTCAAAAGGCTTTTTAATGGCTGCATCGATCGACATGCGGTTTTCGCCCAAAAGATTCTTTAAAATATTATTCAGATCATGACGTCCTTGGTTTTTTCAGTTTTGAGACAGTTTTGCTGCAAAAAGCTAAATTTCTTTATTTCGCTGATCGCTTTTGTAGGCCGACGCTTCTGTCTCTGTAATTTTAGAAAATCCGGAAGTGATATTTCGAGGGGTATTTTGTTTTGAGAGTATAGATCTAGACCTTCTAATTTTTTGCATCTCTCAAGATGTGTTGCCCCATTCCAGTAGAGTGTAAATTTAGTAGGTCAATGGCTTTTACTTGGTATTAAAGCACCGATCATTCCTTTCATCGAAAGGGGGCCCAGCTAGTCTATTATCTATTTGTGGTGGCCGAATTTTGC